AGCCTTGGTATTATTGAACCTGTCGGTTGGATTCGATCATACAGATCACAGTTTAAGTAACTCATCAGTTTTCATTCTTTTCAAGGCATCTGTATGTTAGAAGTTAATTGATGTATGGTAACTAGCAGTGGAATCCAGGATGAGGATTTAGTCCTATTTGGGACTCGTCAATTGGATGTACCTGTATTCCCCAGTGAGTGATGTTATTCCCACTGAGGCTCAAACCTAGTACCGATAGTTTCAAATGCCAAAGAGTTATCCATTAGACGCCACTTGGGCCACAAGAGCCACCTCTTGTGCAACGGGTCATATAGTAATTATTTATCTGTAAGTTGTTCAATTTTTGACTTTTCTGTTGGGAGGTTGAAAAAATTTACTTTCGTTGGAGAGAGTATTTTCTTCACTTATTCCATATAGTCTTTTCAGTTCAAAAGAACTACATTAGCTGCCTTATCAGGATGGGTTATTAGTAGTTCTTTGTTGTCTCAGCTGTTTTATTTCTTTTCGGTGCTGCTTTGTTCGTGATAGCAGACCCTTGCTTTAGTATTGAGGCTTCTAGCTGCAAGTCAGATAAAGTTACTGAAGAGAAGGTAAACACAAATTTCACAGGGTCATCCGGAAGTTTACTGTGGGGTTTGGTCGGTTTGAGACTATTTGGTGATCTGGTCAGATCAAACTGTGACCTCCTTTTGGCGACTGTAATAACGATAAATCTCCATAAATCCCTCACGTTCATTCAGGAGTAATTCGTATAGGACTGAAGATCTTTGGGAACTATTCTGTTGGAGTTCTAGGATTCATCATTGAAGGGAATCGACACAATTCAATGCATAACGTTTAAATGACTTTGTATTAGGATATATGTAATTCAATCGCAATGCTTTCCAGAATCATTGACGCAATCCTCGGGAAAATTAATTTTCGCATTCCTTACCTCAAGCTTGACAGAGTACCGAAGTGGGAAATGATGAGTTGTGTCCAGCAGTGACGTTAGGATTGTTTAGGTGGGAGATGAATACTTCTGAGCAGCCTTACAGATGGGTGGATAGACTGCACAGAACAGGCTGAAATGAGGGTGTGCCACTAGACTTTCATGTTCCACTCGGAACTAGAGAGAATAGTTAAAAAAAAAAGAAGATTCATATTGACAGGAGAAGGTTTACATGGATAGCTAATGCGACAATAAATAGACAGTTTGTAATAATACCAGTCATTCTCATAATAACTGAGTATTATGCATGATCATTTCCCTGAAATGACAACTTGATCAGTATTTGATGTCTTTTAGCTCATTTGGTGTGGGGTGTTGATATCGAGGAGGTCTTTTTCACCGGTCGGATTTCCATTTCACCGTCAGTCATTACAAACTACAGTAGTTTGACATCTTAGGAAACTATCGCCAGACGAGCACTTCATGATTTCCAGCTTAGTCACGAACAGAATTTCAGTTAGAGAACAATTGAAAACTAGCAGGATGTACTGGATAGCTGTTTCATCCTGGTCTGGGGCTCTTTAGCAATACGAAATCATGACCCTGTCACGGGTCGAACGCAATACCGTCAACTAACAAAGCGAACCCATGCAGCTAGTGACACGGAATCCAATTTTCCAATAATCGCAACTTCTGCCACTTTACGATATACAACGCAAACGCCAGTCGATGTTATCGGCGAGTATTTGTCTTCACACTGAATTTGGTGGATTCGACAAATGCTGACTGGTGGTCAGCACTAAATTGATTTTTAAATTTAGGTTTGCTGGGATTTTATTGATTCCAAGATTGGTTGTCTATTGATGAAGAGTCCCAAAACAGGATGAAACAGCTGTCGAATAATCCCTTGTGGTTTTCAATGGTTTTCCAACTGAATTCAGTCGGTGATCAATCTTGAAAATAAAATTGCTGAATAATTAGAAATTATTACTTTGTGAGTTGACATTTCTACTGGTAGCTGAACTTTCCTATAGTCTGATTTGTAAGGGTTAGTTATGTTTTTTACGAGTTGATCACGGATTGATATCAGTTAGAGAATCATTGAAAACCAGGGAGTACTGGACAGCTGCTGTTTCATCCTAGTTTGAGAATCATCGGCAGTACGTATCCACCATCAGGGTTTGAACCCAGGACCTTCCGGTTACAAGGCGAGCTCGTATACCATCAAGTCACTGGGACCCGATTCAATGGCTCATGAATTCTAACTTCTACCAATTCGTGATATAGCGTGACCCCAATATAACTAAACCTTACAAATCAAACTATAGAAAAATAATCTGTTGCTCGCTAGTGATTTGCAACAAGATGGAGTTTCCTGGAGTTCTAGTGAGAATTTGTGACCAGTGAGGTCCAATTAGATGTCACGTGTGTGGATGGATGTCCCACCAATGACAATGGTTTGTGTCTCGCTAAATCACGAATTGGTGGAAGTTAGAATTCATGAGCCATTGAATCGGGTCCCAGTGGCTGAATGGTGTAAGAGCTTGCCTTGTAACAGGAAGGTCCTAGGTTCGAACTCTGGTGGTGGATGAGTACTGCCGATGATTTCTTAACTAGGCTGATGAAACAGCAGCTGTCTAGTACTCCTTGGTTTTCAATAGTTCTCTAACTGATATCAATCCGTAATCAACTCGTAAAAAGTAATTGAACTTCCAGTTGGTATCTTAGGCCAATTTAAACTTTAAGCACCACTAAAACTACCAATGGAGTGCGACCACATCAATAAACTTGAAACGCTCACTGAGCAAGTTAGTGAAGTGTGGCAAATAATGTTGTCATTCTCAATAAAATATGCTCATCGAAGTGTTTGCCATTAAATGGTATGTCTGGCAAGTTTCAGCTTAGGTTTGGAAAAGATTAAGTTACGCTTAGCGAGGTGAAGGACTGCGTCTGCCAGGGATCGAACCCCGGACCATGTTCATGGTCGGCGAGCGTCCTAACGGCAATGCCACTGACGCATAAGCCGAAGACATGTTAGGGTTAGGTTAGCCTAACAAAGGCGACATTAGGGTTAGTTCGATTTAGATTACAGTTAGTTTAGGGATATTTTCACGTTATGGTTAGGTTCAGGAAAGATTAGGGTTATTGTTAAGTTTAGAAGACCTAAATAACTACATGCATAGAATGTGGTTAAATTGCTCTGTTGATATAAGAATAGAACTAGTGCACTGTAGTGGTAGAGTATAATTCTATTATGGGTAAAATTTGATTTTGATATAGTCTCACACTGGTGTTATACAATAAGTAATATTTACCGATGACGACGTTTCGAGTACAATTTATTGTTCAGTAAATATTAGTGTATAACACTATGAGATTTTATACTCTGTTGATATTCCAACCTAAAACTGAGAGCTATTTTTTATCCCATGTAAGAGGAAGGTATTCTCTGTAAAACTTTTCTACAGTTTTTATGCATTCTTTTTCCCATAAATATATGTACTTCATACACAAAAATACCTCTTTCAAGTGATTGGTGCGTTTGAGGTCATTCGCTGATTGGTGGTAGTTAGTGGTGCCATATCTTATATGTTTTTCGCGCCAAATTAAGCAGGTTTGTTGTCCCTGAGGGTGTGTGACTTTCCCACAGGTTACAGATTTTCTTCTGTGATGAGTGGTAAAAAAATGTAAGCACAGCATCCTCTAGACTGAATTCCCCTCTAACATTCCCATGTACATCGTCTTAGTTAGGTTAATAGCGGTATTACATGCCTGATGGATAGGTCATTGTCGATCCTTCGGCCTTCCTTCTTCAAAACATTGGTTAATAACCAGTTAGGATTGCTGAAAGAACATTTATAATGAGCATGAAGCTTAAATCCAATGACACCTGTCTGTCTGTTTTCGACATAGAACTTTGCACAGATGTGCACCAGTTCAAGTCGCTACACCCACTTCATGTAGGACACAAAGCAACAGAAGAAAGTAGAAAAAATGCATAGTAGAGACAGTAAAGAGAGGTGTAAGACAAAGGAATAGTAATAACGGAGAATATTGTAGTTTCCTTTGAAATTATAAGTCACACGGAGTGGATGCATCTCCGCCAGCCATTTGGAACGATTTTGAGCCATATCCCCAATTGTTTCCAACCATTGGTGTTTACCGTCCTGAGGACCCCAACCAGTCAGGAAATCTACACCTTCCTACGTGACTAGCTTAAACTAACTATCGTGGATTTGATTGACTGGTGCCATGTTTTGGTTTGACTGCCACTAGCTCTTTTCCAGCCTGACCCTATATCAGCTAACAATGCCCGTCGAGGAAGGCGGTGACCAGGCATGTGTAACATATATCCTAATCATCTCAGTCGATGTAATTTCACAGCCTCGTCGATTGATTTTCCCTCTCACCTACCTAACACTCGACGCCTAACCTCATTATTACTCACCTTATTATACCACTTTACAGGGGAGATAGAGCGCAGGAACCTATGATCGAAGACAGCTAATCTGTTCATGTGTTCCACTCTCAGTGGCCAAGTCTCGCTCATAGTCATAAAGGAGGACCTAGCGGACTAATGAGCAGTACACCCGTCCTTTGGTCGATAGTCGGATATCATGTCTACTAAGCCAGAGACGCCGTAAACTGGCATATGCGAAACTAGCCTTCTGTATCCGTGCATAGATTTCGTCAAAGATCAACCCGTTGGCACTGGCTGATGGTACTTCCCAAATAAGTGAAGTGGTCAACATGCTCCGTCAACCACTTCACTCCCTATTTCTAAACTAGGAGTCAGTGTCGTCCAGTCCAATAACATCATCTTGCATTTGGTGGGAGCAAATCGCATTCCAAACATTCGTAGATTGCAGCTCAAGGTGTTCAGAAGACTCTGCAGAAGACTCCAATAAAAAGAATCCTTTTCTAATTACCTTAAGAAGTTCAACTACACTTTTCCTTTGTAGATTTGATATTTCAACCGTAGCGCAGTTTTTCTGTAAGAAAATTTCAATTGTGGATTATGTTACTTTCTAACCTTTTATTTATCTCCTCAGATTAATCTTTAACCATTATGTCAAATAGTAAGGAGTTAAGTCATCTCAAATCAACTCTGATGTCGACTCCTTCACCTGTTGTGTATAATTGTCTGCCTTCATGTTATCCGTCTGTATCTTCAACTAATCAGAATAAAACTATTTCAGGAAGAACAGGCTACAACAAAACTATTGACAATCATAATCCTCCTTATTTTATTGTTAGTTCTGATAATCAGTTACATGAAAGTTGTGAAAAGCTACAAAAGCCGAGAAGTACTCAAATAAAGGCAAAAGAAGTGATAAAGTCAGTATATCAGTCTAAACCACCTGTCAAGTCAATTGTAAAGACACATGAAATGTTGAAAAAAGGCGATATAGTAAGTTTGTTAGTTATTAGTTGGTTGATAATCTTTATTACTCCTATATTCTGTATTTTTTGGGGTGGGGGAGGTACGTGAAACGGAAAGAGGATTAGTGTTGTGTGAGCATAGAGTCTAAGATGGACAACTGTTTGAGGACTGTCACACAGACATACACACATGGTCTGTTCGAAGTGGTTTTTGGAGTTGTGTTCGTATTAAGATTTAACCGCAAGCTAAGGATAGCCACCGCCTCACGTTACGTCAGGTGATACAATTTTTGGGATCGACCCTATGTAACGCATCCCATTCTCTCACGTTAACGCCATTACATCCATAATCGCCAGTCGTATGGCTTTACTGGCAGACACCGAGCATAGTGGAAACTACTTACATTATGTTGGTAACAGCTTTTAATCTAACCGCTATCCAATGGATGCTTCTGGCATGACTGGACCTATAGGAACATTGATTCCAGCCAGTATTCCATTATTGGTAAATTTTGTATTGATAAAGTCTCACAGCGTTATACAGTAATGTTTACTGATGACGTTTCGAGCACAATTTATTGCTCATAATCATATCAAGGTAATCACACCACTTCCTAAATTCATTTATATAGTTCCATTGTTTCTCACTTGATTTTCACTTGATTTGATTGGTAATAGTATTTTCCATATTTCAGGTATGAGTGACGAGTCATTCCTATTGCATGTGTTGGGTGTGGACTCGATGAACAAGGATTCAGTAATCAACCTCTCTCTCTACCTACCTAGATTACTTTTTAGAATTTTAACCCTCTCCCGCCACCCTATTGTGTGGTTGTGTGTGTTATGTACTAGTTTTCCCGTCGCCAAATTGTTATGTACTCGTCGCTGAATTATTGTTATGGACTGGTCGAGAAACTAATAGTCCTGACGCGAGAAGGCGGAAATCAGAAGACCACTAGGTTTGCGATGATACTTCTATTGTCCAAACACAAGGAGACGAAAATAAATGGTCTCACACCAAAGTGGTAAGCAAGTCAAGTAGTTGTAAAGTAAAGTAGTTCACACAAATTGTGAATGCGAATATATATAAATAATTCAGACAAGCGTGGGAAAAATCATTAGACAGTCTTAACATGAATGGCTAATTATAATGGAGTGTCGATCCAATTATACATAGCGAATATAGCAGACATGCCAACAAACATATATGGATATATGTCACCAAGCAACGGACTGTCAACAAACACTCATATTATATATAATATAATATAAGGAGAATACACATTATTAAAGGAGACAAGTCCATACAAGTGAAGTGGTCACAGACTAACCGAGCAAACAGAAAGAGAGACCAACATGCATATGTATATATATATATATATATATATATATGGATACATATCAGTGTGTTAGCGCATGCATGGCATTTAAACCTACAAACTCACTCAGAGACAAGCTCTGTAGGTTAAAGGACCCAGTTGACCCAATTAGACAAAATAATATTACATGGAGGATTAAATCATGAGCTGACATCAGTTAGAGAACCACTGGAAAACCTGGGAGTACTGGACAACTGTTTCGTCCTAGTTTGGGACTCTTCATCAGTACGCACCCACCGGGATTCGAATTCAGGACCTTCTGGTTACAAGGCGAGCTCGTAGACCATTGAGCCACTGGGACCCGATCCAATAGTCCTTGAATTCTATCTTCTGACAATTCATGACATAGCGCGACCACTCCGCAATGTCTCCTTCGATGAGTTACTGCCTCATCTTCAACCTGCTGTACCCTACTGGTCACGGCTTCCCACTAGAACCCCAAGGTTAACTGCCTGAATAGAGCCAGTCACTAGTGAGCACAGGGTACAGCAGGTTGAAGATGAGGCAGTAACTCATCGAAGAAGACATTGCGAAGTGGTCGCGCTATGTCGTGAATCGGCAGAAGTTAGAATTCAAGGACCACTGGATTGGGTCCCAGTGGCTCAATGGTCTACGAGCTCGCCTTGTAACCAGAAGGCCCTGGGTTCGAATCCGGTGGGTGCGTACTGCTGAAGAGTCCCAAACTAGGACGAAACAGCTGTCCAGTACTCCCAGGTTTTCCCGTGGTTCTCTAACTGATGTCAGCTCATGAATGATGAAATCCTCCATGCAATCAAACAAAATCCCTACAAAACCAATACTTGAAAATAATATTATTTACAAAATACCATGCAATGGCTGTGAGGTCAACTACATAGGTCAAACTTGTAGGTCGGGGGTAGTCAGATTGTCAGAACATAAGAATTTAGCTAAGGTAAGAATGGTTGACCCCGAGAAGATAAGTGATTTAGAAAAAAGCTCAGCAATTGAAATGCATGCATTAACACACAACCACACAATAGGGTGGGAGAGGCTTAAAATTCTAAAAAGTAATCTAGATAGATGGAGAGAGAGGTTGATTACTGAATCCTTGTTCATCGAGTCTACACCAAACACATGCAATAGGAATGATTCATCACTCATAACCGAAATATGGAAAATACTACTACCAATCAAATCAAGTGAAAATCAAGTGAGAAACAATGGAACTATATAAATAAACTTTGGAAGTCGTGTGATTACCTTGATATGATTATGAGCAATAAATTGTGCTCGAAACGTCATCAGTAAACATTACTGTGTAACACTGTGAGACTATCAAAACAAAATTTACCCATAATGGAATTACACTCTACCACAGTGCACAAGTTTTATTCTTATATCCAGCCAGTATTGCTTGTTGAGTTATTCCTATATGCAAACCCGATCACCATATGAAGGTGAGGATATTTAATATTGTTTGTATAGAAGTTTTAGTAGTGAATTATGCGAAAATTTTTTGAAATTTTACAATTCTGACTATCACAGAGTCGATGCTGTGAACTAAGGATTCCGAAGTAGTAGTTTTTTTTCGTTTATTGAAAATACTTAAAACATCTTCTACTAATACTGTAACGTCAGAAGATATGGGTTAGGCCAGCCAGATAGTTTATTGAGAAAATCAACAGATATTTATATATTTTTATGTACAGTATTGTTAGTAGAGATGCAATCTCTTCGGATTGGTTGTTTGCTTCCTGAACGTTATTCTGTACTGCTTGTGACCGTTTCCCAGAAAGTTAAGCCATATATCTTGTAATATTTTACATTTTCAATTCCCTATTCTCTATCCCCACCCGATTTAATTTCTACACCTCACTACCACTGTTACTGACTTGACCAACAATCAATTTCTAGTCATTTATGTTACGTCATCCAACTTATTTGCTCAATTTCAGTTCTAATTTAAATGGCCTTATTCTCTACCCCACTTCTACTTAGTTTCTCTCTACCTGTAATTGCCTCTGTTGCTACCATGACCTAAGTTGAAACATTTTAGTCAATTATATTACGTCATCTAACTTACTAACTAACTCAATCTTACTTTAGTTGCTGTCTGATTAACCTTGTTTCTATATTAGATCATTCTTGTATTCAAGGATAGTCCCCATCCAGGCACTGATGAAAACAAAACACGTAGATCAGCGAAGAGTCTTTTTTCGCCGGCAAATTCATTTTCTTAGCTGTACAATCGCAAATATATATGTGTTATTTTGTATGCATGTGTACATTAAGTTTGTCAAACAAAAATAGACAATTGGTTAAGGTTACTTTTAACTAAACAGGTGAAGATTGACAATTGGAGTTACCTAATGCAAAATCAGTCAAGAAAAATAGGTGTTAATGAAATTAGGGTAGTAACGAAGGTGATGACTTGTCATAAACAGTTGTTAAAAAAGAAGTTATGTAATAATATGAACAGTTTGATGAGTGAGTTTTACTCAGGACGCGTCGGTGGTATGGCGGTTAGGACGCTCGCCGGCCATGCATATGGTCCGGGGTTCGATCCCCGGCCGGCGCACTCCTTTACCTCACTGAGCCAGAAATAATGCTGGTAAAGAGGAAAGGTTGGAAATGAGGCTAGCAACCCCATCCTGTAAAAATTAAACACTGCTACAGAAACTTCAAGCCACTAGCTTGGAGCCCTATGTTCCACTGGGGACGTGAAGGAAAAATTATTATAAATTACACAGAAACAAAGTAGATAATACGAAATTATGTAGGAGTTCTAAGTGAATAGAAGGATTATAAGCAATTAACGAACAGGCAAACAAACAAAAGTAATTTATCAAAATGAACAATTAATTAATTACAGGATTTCATCATGAGCCAACATTGGTTAGAGAACCATTGGAAAACCTAGGAGTACTGGACAGTTGGTTCGTCCTAATTTGGAACCCTTCATCACTACGCACCCGCCGGGATTCCGAACCCAGCAGCTTCTGGTTACAAGGCTAGTGAGCTCGTAGACCATTAAGCCACTGGGACTCGACCCAATGACCCGTGAATTCTAACTGCTGCCAATTCATGAAATAACGCAACCGCTAGCCAATGTCTTCGGTGAGTATTTATTCTCACACCCGACCTACTGCACCCTACTAGTCACGACTCCCCACTAGAACCCCAGGTAACTACCTACCTGAATAAGGCCAGTATAAGAGCTCACCTTGTAACCAGAAGGTCCTGGGTTCGAACCCTGGTGAGTGCGTACTGATGAAGAGTCCCAAACTAGGACGAAACAGCTGTCCAGTACTCCCAAATGGTTTTCCAACGGTTCCTCTAACCAATGTCAGCTCCTGATGAAATCCTGTAATCAGTAAACCTTTCTTGCAGCCGCTAACAGGGAAGAAGTGGTCGGAGTTTAGGTATTATCTATTCCAGGTTGTTTTGTACTGATTACTTTTTTCTATTGTCCCATCTTCTTTTCTCTTCATGAATAAATAAATCAATAATGTGTAACTGATTGTTGACATGTTGATGCCTTGTGAACTTGATTTTTCAATCGGTACTGTTGAACTTCTGTAGTAGGATTTTTCTGTTTAGTTGAATGTGCTAAACTCTCCCTTTTATTTACCACACTTTTATTTTAGAATTCTAATCAATTTAAACAAAAATCGAATCTATCAATTAAATCAACGCAACAAACAACAACGAAAACAGCAGCAACAACAAGAACTGCAAAGAAATCATGCCATTTACAAGATTTATGTCTTGAAGATCGTCGTAAATTGAATAAATTAATTATGAAGCTTGCTGAAGCCCAAGAAGCGTTAAAAATAATGGATTGTAAACTTCAAAATCAATCTATGAATAATAATGATAACGGTAGTAATAATATCTTAGAATTGAAGCGTCCAACAGACGGTGATCAAATCCAGTATACCCATCCTACACTTGAAGAAGGTACAGTATACTCTTCAAAAGCAGAAGAGTTGATCGTAAGTTCAAGTTTATTGATTTTCCTACTCTAAAGAATTATATCAGAGATTTATCAGGTGACTGATTGAGATGAGTGGTTGGATAGTACTCACATCAAAGTGTATAGTTTGCTACCCAGCCATATTGAAGTGATCTAGACATTGGATGACTGCTTCGTCCGTTTAGAGCTGAACTCATCAGCGATGTATCTGATTGATCATAAGCTCTCATCTTCTCCTCCGACTCATACGATTTCCTCTATGTCACTCTAACGCTGACGACACACCTGTTTCTTAGACAGTCCGTTTAAATATCTTTTTATTTTTTAGATTTACAGCTTGATTCCACACTGTATTTTCGGTACAAGTATGGAATTTTCAGCATGGATATCGGTAGCCCAAATTTCGCAGGCCGACCATAGATATCAGGTGTGCGCCGGCGTGGGCTCGAACCCCGGACCATGTGCACGGTCGGCGAGAGTACTAACCACTGTGCCACCGCCGCACGAAACATATTCGCCCACTCAAAGTCTGCTGTGATTGATTGTCGAGTTAGTCTTTGTTCTTGTTTTCTTTTCTCATGACCAAGATTCTGGACGTAAACACTGACGTAAACTGTTGTTGTTGTCTACAATTTTGGCTAGCAGACAGCTCTCACCAAATAAGCAGTTGCAACCACTCATAATAACCAATGTGGCGCTTGTGAGCAAAATGGCCAGATCAAAATCATTTAAAAGAACAAGAAGTTCAGCAAAGATGGCGTCGATCTTTTCGGCGATTTCATTCTCAAAAGCAGCTGTACAATCGCACTTTTATAGATTAGTTTACATGGATACAATTCTTATTTGTTTAATTTCACATAGTAGTAACGAAGGCGATAATAATTTTCAACTTGATATGAATTACAAGAGGGTTAGAAACAAAAGTTACTCAGGGATAAAATGAATCACTGGTGTGAACCAACAAAATGAGCATGGAAACAAATTGAAATCAAAATTTTCAACTGGAAATGTAAGTGAGGAGGAGGTGTGTGTGTGTGAATATAGATTATAAGAGGCATAGAAACAAAAAAATTACACAGGATTAGAATATAATTGTAAAATGGTTATTCTTAACGGATTGCAAGTGTGATCAGGAGGAGCATGGAAACAAACTTAAAATAACTGATTTTATAACTGAAAAAATGGAATGAATTGAATGAAGACAAGGAGAGAAAATTTCACACACAGATTTCAAAACAAAAAAACTGAAGGATAAGGGAACATACCGAACTAGGACCATGGTAGTTGAAAATTTCGATTTCAATTTGTTTCCATGCTCATTTTGTTTGTTCACACCAGTAATTCATTTTATCCCTGAGTAACTTTTGTTTCTAACCCTCTTGTAATTCATATCAAGTTGAAAATTATTATCGCCTTCGTTACTACTATGTGAAATTAAACAAATAAGAATTGTATCCATGTAAACTAATCTATATAAATGCGATTGTACAGCTGCTTTTGAGAATGAAATCGCCGAAAAGATCGACACCATCTTTGCTGAACTTCTTGTTCTTTTCAATCTAATGTTCCAATTGGTATTTTCCACGATTTCAAAATCATTTAAGCAGCAAACTGCTGTTCCGCGTATTCAGGGTTGCTTCATTATCCGTGGTGTATCCGCTTTTGACTCGGCTTACAGAACCGAATCAGTTCAAACCACTTGACTTTTCTGTTAATTGCAAATTGCGAATTCGATTTATGAAGACTGGTCACTTTACCGACTACTAACATACTTAAGTAGTAGTATAGTACCTTATCAAGAAATAATATGCGTAATTTGACTTACCACTCAGTAATAACAATTAGAATTGGACACATGTTATTGCCTATAGCCTAGTGATGAATGTGAACATGGCCGATTAGGAAGGTGTGGTTCATTGTCTTCAACAATTCACAGTTACCTTATGAGTCTATGGTTGGAGATCTGCTCCAAACGCCTTAATTTTGCCAGTATGTGTGTTAAATGAAGAATCTGTTCTAGTTGTTTGAGTTCTAAGTTGGATGTGTTATTATTACAATTCTGCCAGAGGTCGTGCATTATATCATATTCCCACCTTCAATTGTGTTATTTGAACTCATCTGTCTTCCGCTGTCTCTCTGTGTTAATTTGTCTTTATATTCCTGCACGAATTGAGTATCTAGAAGATTTATATTGTGTATATTATAGGCATTTATATATATATATATATATATATATATATATATATATATATATATATATATAACCTGGTTTCAAAATTATTCAGAAAACTTATTCAGAGGATTATATATATCTAAGAAACAACGTTCACCAACCACGCTTAACGTGGTCTGAAGTTAGATCCTCAGCCGATGAAACATTCCTAAACCTCGCTAAGTAATCAGTAAGGCTGGTGAAGAGGAGAAGGTTACGCATAAGACTAGCAACCTCACTCTAAAATTATTTATCAGTATTATTGTTTTCTTTAGTTCCTAGAGGAACACAGGGCTTCAGCCGCACGTCTCCGTTGCGTTCGACTCTCTGCCAAAGTTTTCACCTGGATCCACTTCTGTCAACATGCCTTCTTCTCCTATTCGCACAGCCTCCTTCTCCACGTCACCCTCGCACTGTCGACTTACTGACTCACCGCTTCCAATTCGAGTTCCACTCGAGCGATGGCCTAGCGTTGGTTGGTTTGTTTTCTCGGAGTATGCCCACCAATCCACCTCCATTTCTTCCTGCTTATTTGTTGCACAATCAGTTCCTAATTGGTTTGCTCATTGCCAGAGATCCCTGTTGCTGATCTTTTCTGGCCGACCATCTGATCCTGAGTAGTATTAATGAAAGTCTGTTGTTTCTTCGAAGTGGCCTTCGTGACGCGGCTCCAAGTCTCTGATCCGTGTAGAATTCACATTGAAGTTGAAAATCCGGATCATATTTTTCATACTGAGTGTGCTGTTGATCTCCAAACAGACTTGAGAGTAATGAAAGCTTGTCTTGCTCTCCCGATTATCACACTTTTCGATTGGTACGCAACGTTTTCTTATGTACATAAAACTCTTATTTCTGTAGTGTTTCTGGCTAGGAAGTTGTAGAATTTAGTGTAATTAATCTACTTTCAAACACTGAACCTGTGGATATAATCTTGTTGACTGTTTAACGCTAACTAAAATCTATAATTGTATATAATTGTTGAATTTACATACCCAAATTGACCCAAGTCAGTAAGTGATTCTATGGTTTTAAAATCATTTTTTGTTAACTGTATTTAACCTCACTCCAGTAGAAATAAAACAACTGCTTAACGAAATTTCAAAGCTCTAGCTTTTGAAGTCTTATGCTGCATATTCGGGAAGTAAAAAGGAATGAAAATAGCTCAGTTTAAGTAACATTTTGTTGTTACGTATTCAAACCTCAATAAGGGACATTAGTTATTTCAAGAAATAATAAGTACTCTGTGCTGAATTGTTCTTGCATGACTCAATCCTCTGAGACAGATTCACCTTAATTTTCTTTTTGAAATGTTATAGCACAGGTTGAAAGTCAGGTAAAAATTCATCCAAGTTCATTGATATAAGAAGAGAACTTGTGCACTTTGACTGTGAAATATACTTCCATTGTGGGTAAAATTTATTTTAATAAAGTCACACACACAGTGGTGTTACACATTATGTAATATTTACTAATGATGACCACGTTTCGAGCACAATTTATTACTGCAGCTCATAATCATAGCAAGGCATTAATTAATCACACAACCTTCTAACTTTGTTTATATAATTCCACTATTTTTCATCACTTGGTGTGATTGGTAATACTATTTTCCATATTTCTGATATTAGTGATGAGTCAATCCTATTTCACGTATTCATCTCATCCTTATCTGTCTGTGAATGCAGGCTTAGTTGTTAAGTGTCTAACAAACCGAGCAATAACAACACTAAGTAGCACAAGAAAAGACCTAAATGATAAACTAAAACAGATAAAAGAGGCGTTGGTATTAAATAACCAACCAACTATCCTATAAAATTCAATGGGGGAATATCAGAAAAGGTCAAAAGTAAAATAAAAATAATAGTGAAATTAATATGGGTAACATAAATAAGAAAGAATATAAGGCATCTATAGTTATATCATATAAAGAGGGGACATTTAAAACAGCGGATCATCCACAAATTAGAAGAGCATGTTGAGTGACATCAGTTGTTGGGAAGACCGTCTAATGGGACCTTGAGAACAACAAGTTGGGCAGTTGGTTCGAGTTTGAAGTTGGACAGATTGTGTGGGTAAGAGATGAGAGTTAATAGGCGATTGTGGAGCCATCTGAAGACAACTATACATAATAGAGTGACATTCAGTCGTTCTGATGAAGCCGTATATTCCACTTGGAACCCAGTGGAATAATCATAACAATAGTAATATTGATTTAAGGTATCCTTTTCACTATCAATTACTTTATAAGGAGTGAAATATTTTTGGAACAACACATTTAAGCGAACAATATTGTGCTTTTAATTAGATCTCATAAGGCTTTACCCTAATATATATAAGTTTACACATAAAAATTCAAATATAAACCAATCATGGTGTTTTGTCTAAAGGATAATACGACAGTGAATATAAATTGTTCGATTAGTCAGAATCGTAATAATAATAATAATAAAAATAGTAATAATAATGGTCTTATCAATAATTAGGATGAAAAAGTGAGGCAATCTGTGACAACACGAATAGTGAAAAACAGCATAATGAAACAAGCAAATGTTCAGGTGGAAGGAGTAGTCGATAAAGGCTAGGATGAAAACAAATGAACCGATTAAGTAATGCTAGACTGATTGTAAGGGAAGTAAATGAAACACGTTTATCATGAAGATGTGATAATAAGATTAAGGGATGATAAGAAAGGGGTTGAAAATATAAGTAAGTAAGTAAGGGGTGGTATAGAAGTCTTTAGTTGGTTATGTCTTAATAGGCCAAGCAAGGGAGGGATAATGACTGTGGGTACGAACTTCTTTTGAATGCGTACAGTTTAGGTTTAATAGTTCGAATGCCTATCGCTCGCCTCAGCTGTGTGCGTGCAGTAGACGAATACGAAGTCTATTTGAAAGATTCGGTGGGATACGACGAATTACTTTGAAAGCTCTCGTTTTCTCCACTACATAATTTCTATCAACTAAATGTGACAAAATTGAGCAACAGATTGTTTTTGTCTGTCCTTTGTCAAGCCACCACGATGGGAGATGTTCACTAACACGTTGGTTGACTAAGCTGTCTAGTAGTACACCCAACATAATTGTCATCGCAGGTGCATTTGAATTGCTAAATGCACGCAAATGTGGCGAAACTATCTAGGTTATCCTTAGTTTTCGTTGCAATCATTCGTCGGCTGGAGAATGACAAACATAGGTGTGCTGCGTAAAATGTTCTACGTATACTCCTGGAAAGTCTTTCGAATAAAATTTCACTTAATAAGTCACCATTAAATTGTAACTTAATAAATAAAGGTTTCTTACGTGCAGTCAGTCTCAGGTTTTTTCTCTGATGTTTTAATATGTTTCTTTATGAAACTACTCGGTTAGCCCATCACCGTCAAGGAATCGTGAATATATTCAAATTCTTTTTGTAAGAGGTCATCCGTACATATCTTTCTTGCTCTGCTCGCAAGACATTTAACAACATTCCTTTTATATTTAATGGGCACGTAACTAAGGAAATGTGTATATTGCCCTATGAATGTGCTTTTTCTGTACACACTTCTCCCAAGTGACCCATTTTCTCTCCTACTTAGCAAGACATCCAAAAAATGTAGTTTATTCTCCTGTTCCTCTTCACAAGTAAAGGTAAGCGAAGGGTAAATGTTGTTGAATTTCAGCAACAATTCGTCTATGTTAACATTCCCGTCAGCTAAGATAAGTGTATCATCGACACATGGATAATACATATCAAACTCCTTGATGATGTCCTTCAATTTCCTGTTTTCAAGTTTTCCGAAAAATAAGTCAGCTAATACTGGGCCTAATGGTGAACCACCCATAGCTATTCCATCTACTTGTCGATAGTATGAATTATTGAAGACAAAGTGAACATTCATTGTACATTTAAGAAGTAATTCTTTGAGGCTACACAAGGGGATTCCTAAGTCAAATGGTCTTTCGGTGATTTCTTGACAAATATAAGTATAAAACTTAGGTACTGTGGTAGAGCGTAACTCCATTATGGATAAGATTTTATTTTGATAAACTGTCACACACAGTGTTCATTGTACAGTAGTTAATATTAGCTGACGACGACGTTTCGAGCACAAACAAACATAATCTACTGTTTCCATATGCGGTACATTAGTGAATAGTGATGATACATCCATGGATAACATGCGATTATACCTCATATTAGACTCGGATATTTTAGAAATAAAGTCGAAGATATCACTAATTCTAATTTGCACGATTTCTCTGTGTAAAAGACCCAGAATCTTCACTAACCACTTCGCTGTTCCACGATATGGACAGTTATGCATATCTAAGACGGGGTGAAGAGAAAGAACCGGTTTGTGCATTTTTGGTAGACCGTAGAGACGTGGAGTATTGGTAACAGTTGGTTTCATAGACTCATTCCATAGAGTCTATTCGAAAGACTTTCCAGGAGTATACGTAGAACATTTTACGCAGCACACCTATGTTTGTCATTCTCCAGCCGACGAATGATTGCAACGAAAACTAAGGATAACCTAGATAGTTTCGCCACATTTGCGTGCATTTAGCAATTCAAATGCACCTGCGATGACAATTATGTTGGGTGTACTACTAGACAGCTTAGTCAACCAACGTGTTAGTGAACATCTCCCATCGTGGTGGCTTGACAAAGGACAGACAAAAACAATCTGTTGCTCAATTTTGTCACATTTAGTTGATAGAAATTATGTAGTGGAGAAAACGAGAGCTTTCAAAGTAATTCGTCGTATCCCACCGAATCTTTCAAATAGACTTCGTATTCGTCTACTGCACGCACACAGCTGAGGCGAGCGATAGGCATTCGAACTATTAAACCTAAACTGTACGCATTCAAAAGAAGTTCGTACCCACAGTCATTATCCCTCCCTTGCTTGGCCTATTAAGACATAACCAACTAAAGACTTCTACACCACCCTTTGTTTATATTTTCAACCCCTTTCTTATCATCTCTTAATCTTATTATCACATCTTCATTAAAAACGTGTTTCATTTACTTCCCTTACAATCAGTCTAGCATTACTTAATCGGTTCATTTGTTTTCATCCTAGCCTTTATCGAGTACTCCTTCCACCTGAACATTTGTGACACCATGATTGGTTTATATTTGACGTTTTATTTGTAAAGTTATGCAGGCATATTAGAGTTCAGCCGGATGAGATCTAATTGAAACCACAATATCACTGTTCGCTTAAATGTGTGTTGTTCTAGATTTTACTATGGGAATATTTAATATATTTTGAAATATTTCTGTTAACATTATTATACAATTGGTGCATCCATTGATCATATTGACTTATTTTCATTCACATATCCCATCCGATCCCCCACCCCTAACCCCCACCCCCCCCGCGACATAGATCACCTATAAGACCAGATTAGAACAGTTAGAAAGTGAATTATCCCAGTTACGTCACCATCATTTCCGAGAAGAAGAAAAAGAAGACCATTGTCCATCATATGTTGAAAACGATTCATCTGTAAAAAAATATCCTATTGAATTACATCCAACTGTGATCAACAATGGTAAGTACAAAATCATTTTTAAAATATATAGTTTATCAATAGTGGAAAAAAAAACTGAAAATTAGGTAGAAGGTCGACTAATTCAGCAGGTCGCAGACACGGTGACTGAGAACAACTTTACCATAGATGGTGATAGTCTAACTAACTTTACAGTTGACTTGATGAAATATTTTTGGAGTCTTCTTTACACAAGAACTACATCAGGTTGGAGGTGAGGACATTATTGCGCTATACATATGGCAAATTGACAGAAGTTAGAATTCATAGGCTATCGAGTTCCCTGCCTGGAACTCAATAATATATGAGCTCACCTTGAGATGTGAATGTTCTGCATTCGATCCATTGCTAGTGCGTAGTGGCTGTAACCAGAAGGTTCTCGGTTCAAACTCCTGTGGTAGGTGCGTACTACCGTTGATTTTCCAAACTAGGCTGACAAAAACGCTGTCCAGTACTTCAGTGCTGGTTTTCAATGGTTCTCTAAGTGATATCAATCCGCGGTCAAACGCTTTACAACAAATCTAATCCCCACAAATCAACAATTTAAAATAATATTAACAATCACCTTATCCCAAATAATGATAATAATTATGTAGAATGAAAATTTCAGCATTATGTGTTTATGGTAACAATTTATCTCCTTTTACAAATAAATAAATCAATAAATAAAATGGTAAAACTAAGAAAACCGAAAAAGTGAATAGTAATACCAGTAGTAACTTGCTGTTTATTTACAGACTAAAAAGTAGGTCCCGAGAAGCTCTTTTCTGACGTCTGACTCTCTCTCTTCGCACACTAAACCCGTGCTAAATACGGATGTGTATGGTAGAATTTTTATAATTAATAGCTGTACGAGCATAAATTCTTGTGCAGTTTATTCTGGTCTCACCCTTGAAGAGATACAAGGAGAAGGTTGCGAATAAGTAGAGAGGATGTTCAGAATTGTGCAAGATAACTCCAGACAACTGCTTGAAAGAACTGAAGTGCCTATTGATAAAAACAATGTCATTTAGATGAGTCAAAGGTACACATAGTGTAACAACAGAAGAAAAGGGCCAGGCAACAGTTCGTTTATTAAGGAAATCAACACAGACTTATAGATTTTATTATATTATAGATTATTGTTAGCAGAAAAACACAGTCTTCAGATTAGTTGTTTATCACGGAAAGTTAACCTTGCATCTATGTGGCTATTTCTTGAATGTCAGATCATCTATACGTTAACTGTATCCGCCTAAGCAAAATCTGCTGTGGTTGTTTGTTGAATCAGTCTTTGTTCATATTTTTCTCACGACCAATATTGGGGACATAAACATTGGCGTAAAATACTGTCCAACAATTTCAGCTAGTAGCCAGCTCTCACCACACTCGTCCCCACGTCAAAAACCTGCGACTGAAGTTGGTTCAGTCCTCTTGGTTGTAGGGGCTTTGTTCGTTTGTCTTGTTGTCTGGAATCGCAGCGCTCACCGATGTGCATCTGTTTCTCTTTGTTCACCATTGCGATAGTGTCTGCATAACCCCATCTCAAGGTGACCGTATGTGGTTGTTCACACTTTGGAAACTGTTTGCCTGACCCTGTCGCACATTCGTCGGTATTTCGCCTCACACTTCCATATGCTGCTTTCTCCCAACCTCCCAGCAGCGTCAAAAGTAGCAGCCTCATCGCTGACAGATCTTGAACGCCACTCAACTGCACCAAAGCCTCGAAGTCCTAGCCGAAGATCCATATATCTCCATCAAAAACTTCAGGGGATATACTTTCCATTTGTCGGTAGGCAGCGACACCAAATGTAACAACAGAAGACAAGGGCCAGGCAACAGTTCGTTTATTTGAGAAATCAACACATATTTATAGATTTTCATGTACATTATTATAGATTATTGTTAGCAGAAAAAACACAGTCTTCTGATTGGTTGTTTCGCACTGAAAGTTAATCTTTCATCTCTTTGTGACTGTTTCTTGAATATCAGATCATCTTTATGTTAACTGTATCCGCCTACGGAAAGCTTTTGTTCATATTTTTCTCACTACCAATATTGGGGACATAAACATTGACGTAAACTACTGTCTTGGCTACTACTTGGCTAACAGCCAGCTCTCACCACAGTAGCACTAACCCTGCTTACTTACAGCCTTCAGTGTTCTACGTCATATGGCATAATGTTTTTTTGAGACGTCTAGGGACGAATAAGTGGGGTGAACAATATAGAAGAATGGGTAGAATACATGTATTAACAAATTGTAGGAGGAGAGGTTGATTTATGATGCCAGAATGTCTCAACTTCTTTATGTAATAAGTCAAGCGAAAAATGGTATTCTCCGAAACCAAGGGTCTGTGAGACGACCAACAGATATTCGAAGAGAAACTAATACCGAGTAAAAGGATATTGGATGTACTCCCTATGACAGTGGCATCAGTATTACAGGAATCAGGGAGTGAATCAGTCCACACACACGCAAGTCTTGCTCACACCTAAAACTAAAATCAACAATATGACATCCAGATGGATTTAGTTTAGGACCATCTGAGTGAAACCATGTGTTAACTTCAGATAAGAATCTATTCACATAGAAGAACAGTTGAAAGCAGTAACCACTGCAACAGAAATGGATAATCCAAGATTTTAATGATAAAATCACAAAAACTGAAAGTTGGTGGAAGCATAAGGAACTATAAATAGATAAATAGATGGAACTCTGAAGAGATCGATTTATCGAAAGCTGTCATGGAGTGGTCAACTGACAAATTTTTACAGCTGAGTACCCATCGGTCGAAAAGGAAACCTGGTCCAGTCGCTTGCCATTCGCATTCGGTGCATATGTAGCCCTGGTACTGTAGAAGATGAGTTAAACCTTTTGAGGAAAACCCTAATAGAAAATAGATTTCCACCACGTTTTATAGATAAGAATATACATTCAAAGCCTACAAAAAGTGACTTATCAACCGTATCCAAGAAAACACTTTACATGAGCTTGGAATTCAAAGGGGACTTAGCTTCCGATATCATGAAACGAAGGATATCACAGTTCCTGAAAGGGACTTTCGCTGCTGCATCTCTGAGAATAGCTTTTACGAGTCGACCATTACTGTTCAATAACCTGAAGGACAAGATCCCACTGTTGACCAACTCTATGTGTATTTATCAAGTCACCTGCTCGTGTGGAGCCAGGTTTATCGGTCGTTCGACTCGAGTTTTGTCCAACATGGTTACGAAGAGGTGGAAGTGGAGCAATAAGAAGCGCGATCATTGAACATCTGGTCGATAATGATCACCCTATCTCCTCTATAGCCTACGCCTTTAAAGTCATCTACAAGGCGAAACGTAATTTACCTAAATCCCTACGTACCCGACTCATCTGTACTGCTGAAGCTTTGGCTATCGAGACAGAAAAGCCAGATCTCTGTGTACAGAAAAACGTTTGTTCACCCCCTCCCCTCCAACTTCCATGGTCTTAATCCCTCTATGCTAAATTATGGTAATCCCCAATCATATTTTAGCTCTACCAATTTTTCATTTTTATTCTGTCTATTCAATTTGTATACTCTTCCTTTATTACACCAATTGTTACTACTGTTACTATTCCACTGTGAACTGTCCCCAGTATTATTTCACTTGCTCCACTTGTCATTCTAAATCAATTCTGATTTGCAAAGTTATATTCTATGCTATCAAATTTCACACACTATGTTACGTAACATTTTATATTCACCCTATAATTCTATAATTATGCATCCCCACTCCTAACATCTATCCATCTTATGAATTATTCTATATATGACTTTAATTTGTTTCGCCACTTGACATTGAACTATGATTATAATCCCAGACATTTTAGTTTTAATTACATTTCATACTACTATTATTATTTTATGCATTGACACTTCACCGGATATAACTTCTTAAAAACCATCTATATACGATTGTACAGCTTGATGATAAATTCGTTGAAAAAAGTCTCTTCGCTGAATCACTTGTTTTGATTTTATAAATAGATAGCATCATATGTAATACATGTAATAATAATAATCTTAGCTTATACTTTGCAGTTCAGTTACTAATTTAAAAAAAATTATAAGTTCTGTTCTGTCATTTGTCTGCTTCAACACAACACCTGTGCTAAATATGGTGTGGTTGAATTTTTATATTTACTAGCTTTAAGAGAATAAATTTTGATGAATTTTTTTTCCCGAATTTACCCGGAGATATAAGGAGAACATTCTGAATGAAGAGGATGCTGAGCATCCGACAAGATGACTTTAGTGTCATCTTACTTATACGCATCAACCAACGATAGTGTGCCAGTCAGCTGGGTCGAAAGCATATCACTCACCGTGCTTATAGCTTTCATACTCCTATGTAATATAATACAGTCATTTCTGAGAATAAGGGGGATGAGTACAGACGAATTGGCAGAATACATGAATCGATAAATTGCAAGTGGAGAGCTTAAGTTATGCTAAAATGTCTTGATTTCCTTATGTAATAAGTCAAACGAAAAATTTGCATAGAAATCAACAAGATATGAGATGACCAACAAAAATTCGAACAGCAACTGATGCCATTATGAGAGACATTTGATTTACTCCCTGTCATCACTGTGCCTGCCGTCGATATCACAAGAATCATGAATTTGAACCTGTCCACACAAGTCTCTATCAAAGCTGAAATCAAAATTAAACGCCTGATATATATATGGGGGAGACGGGGGTGGTCCAATTTAAGACCATTTGAATTAGGCCATCACAGTTGAGCACAGACGGGGAACTATTCATATCATGACAATCGAATGCATAAATGACTCGGACGGGAAACTATCAGATCATCATACTAAATAATGAAATGAAGAGAATACAGCACCTTGAGACACAGCAGCTTCCGTAAGCAAAGAATTTGAGTGCTTCTCATTAAAGGTATTATGTTGTTTCCTACCTGAAAAAGAGCAAGGTGACTGACTATCTTGTGACCAAAAACTCACTGCTTGCTGAATACAAACTAAACTATAGAAAAAAAAGAATGGGTAAAATACATGAATTAATAAATTGTAAGATAAGAGGTTGAGTTATTTCAGCAAAAAGTCTCAACTTCTTCCTTATACAATAAGTCTGAATAATAATCGATATCTTCTCATCTAACTTCTTTTTTTCGAATAAAATCTTCATAACTTAGATAAAGATGTCAATCAACGTAGAATACAGTCATCTGATCGTCGTCATCGTCATCATCATCAGAAGTTATTGTCTTTTACCAGTTTGAAGCCAGTTTCTTATCATAATAATCATGACAATCATGATGATGGTAACTGTCAGAAGTCTAATAATCATAAAACTATAAATCAACCTGTTAGTAATTCTGTTGATTTAAAAAGTTCCAATGCTCTTCAAAAAGTTGAGAATAAAAATGAAGTGATGGCAGATATCGCTAATGAAAGTGGAACAAATAACTTTACGGATAATACAAACAGGAATCAAGTAAGTATTGCTGTCTGTATTGATTTTTTCATTATAGGTTTAAGTAAGAATTTTGGATGAGTATTCGAGTGTTGATTTGCAGGGATTTCCTTGGTTATAGAAGTGATTATGATTTGTCTGATATCAGTTAGAGAACCATTGGAAAATCAGACAGGAGTACTGGATAGACGAGTGGGTGGTGGGTGTAAGGGTGACATGGAGAAGATCGTGTGAGGAAGAAATGAGATAGGACGGTCAGTCGTGTGGAGCTAACCAGATGAAGAGGATGGCAGAAAACAGAACTAAGTGGAGATGTGTTGCTGAAGCCCACCTATTTCCCAATCGGAACTCAATGGAATAAGAATAATAATAATATTGTTTTGCAATGCACAACAATTTATCAGTCATCAAGTAGCACTGATAATTAATGCTTGTTAACAATAATTAATCATTATCAGCATTTCACGGGACTTGATAATCAATAACCAGGATAGATAGATAATTCAAGTAATTAAAGGTTAGAAATGAATGCAACAATGATAATATGTAATTAAAGATATGAAATAGGTGGAAAAATAATAAAATAACTTGGACGGTTAAAATTTCAAGGGTTCGTGGGCGAAGTAATCCAGTTTATACATTCATATAACGATGGCCGAGGTAAGGAAAGTGACTGTACATATTTCCTTTTGTTTGTCCCTCCCCCCTCGTTAACCATGCTGGATGATGTTCGGAAATACGATGATGAATCTGCAGCTGCAGTCAAGCTGGTAGATACACAAAGAGGAGGAGGAGGTAAATTTAGGTTGTTTATTCTTATTTCTCGCACGTGGAATACGAGGGAGCGGGGGAGGGGGCTCGAAGAAACAATGTGCTTCTACTGCATTGAAAGCTCTTTTAACTGCATTCTTCAGGTGCTGTGTCACTATTTATCTGATATTGTCACCGAGTAACTGTATTTTAATGAACAATCGGTTTTTTTGGAGCTGTTAGCATAATGACTCTCTTAGGTGCTGCTGAATTCATATTTTTCCCAATGAATTTATCTGGATAACCATTTTTACTAAGTAATTATCTAATAATCTTAAGCTCCTCGTTGAGGTAATCGTTTGAACAGATTAACCTAACTCTATGAACCAAACATTTTACCAGGTTACGTTTGTCTGTCTGTCTGTTTTCGACATAGAATTTGCACAAATGTGCAGCAGTTCAAGTCGCCACACTCCGTGTAGCACGCGAAGCAAGAGAAGAAAGTACAAGAAAAGCATAATAGAAACAGTGAGCAGAGGTGTGAGACGAAGGAGGAGTAATAACGAAAAAAAAAACAGTTTCATTGGAGATCATAAGTCACAAGGAGTGGATGCATCTCCGCCACTGAGAACGATTTTGAGCCATGTCACCAATTGTTTCCAACCATAGATTTTTACCGTTCCGAGGACCCCAGCCAGGAAGTCTACACCTTCCTACGTGGCTTAGACCAACTGTTGTGGATTTCATTGACTGGTGGGGCCAAGTTTTTGTTTGACCGCCGCTAGCTTTTTTCCAGCCTGACCCTATATCCGCTAACATTGCTCGTCGAGGGAGGCGATGACTTGGCATACGTAACACATGTTCTAACCATCTCAGTCTTTGTAACTTCACGACTTTGTCGATTGATTTCCCCTGTTTACCTAGAACTCGACGCCTAACCTCAATGTTGCTCACCTTATTATGCCACTTTACACGGGAAATAGAGCGCAGGCACCTATGATCAAAGACAGCTAGTCTTTTCATGTCTTCCACTCTCAGTGGCCAGGTCTCGCTCACAGCCATAAAGGAGGACGGAGAGGTTACGTTTATATTTTATAGGTGCAAAACTCAAAAAGTGATTGTACTGATCTGTTGTTGTAAGTTTCTTATACACACTCCTTCTAAGTGTGCCATCTTCTTTCTTTGCCAAACCTGTGTTCAAAAGAAAATATGTACAGCCACTTTCCTTACCTTGGCCATCGTTATATGAATGTATAAACTGGATTACTTCGCCCACGAACCCTTGAAATTTTAATCGTCCAAATTATTTTATTATTTTTCCACCTATTTCATATCTTTAATTACATATTATCATTGTTGCATTCATTTCTAACCTTTAATTACTTGAATTATCTATCTATCCTGGTTATTGATTATCAAGTCCCGTGAAATGCTGATAATGATTAATTATTGTTAACAAGCATTAATTATCAGTGCTACTTGATGATTGATAAATTGTTGTGTATTGCAAAACAATATTATTATTATTATTCTTATTCCATTGACTTCCGATTGGAAAATAGGTGGGCTTCAACAACACATCTCCACTTTGTTGTGTTTTCTACCGTCCTCTTCATCTGGTTAGCTCCACACGACTGACCAAACTTTCTCATTTCTTCCTCACACGATCTTCTCCATGTCACCCTTACACTGACGACCCACTTGTCACTTCCCATTTGGATACCACTCGAGCGTCGGCCTGCATTACATGCGATGTCATTCGTCGGCGCCCTCAATGTATGCCCGATCCAGCCGTCTGCATTTTCGCCTACATGTTCATTGAGCAATTGGCTCTGGCTTGTTGGTTTGTTCTCATAGTTTCTTGTGGTTTATTGTTTGTGGCCATTTGATCTTCAGTATAGAGTCAGCCAGCGAAGGCAGCTGTTGATGAAAGTCTGCAACAGGCTGTTGGAAATCCTTTTCGTGACACGCTGGCCAAGTTTCTGACCTGTATAGAAGAATCAATTTCACATTGGTGTTGCAAAATACGAATATTGTTGCTTATGCTGGTGTTATGTACTGGTCGAGAATTTAATAGTCCTGACGCAAGAAAGACGGAAATCAGAAGACCACTAGGTTTGCGATGATACTTCTATTTTCCAAAACACTAGGAGAATCAATGTCACACAAGAGTGTGAGAGCAAAAATATAAGAATGTCCGAACAAGTGTGTGAACACAAGTGTGTGAGCGAATATTCAAAATGAACAAATCAATAGACAGTCTTAACATGATTGGCTAATTATAATGGAATATCGATCCATATATACATAGCAAAATATATCAGACTGTCAAACAAACACACATATTATATGGATATATATCACCAAGACAGACTCAAACAAACACACATATTATATGGATATATATCACCTCCCCTTTTGAGAAGATTGATGATTAGTAGCGTGTTTTCTTGGGGGTTTATCTGGAACCGTTGAGCTTGTTGTTGACGTCTGTCTGTTGGGTTTGCGGCTTCGGCTTCGTCCGGAATTGTCTGACATTTTATGCTTCTTGACTGCATTGAATAGCGAATTTAGTGGGACATCAGCCAGATGCAAACGATCGAACCAATCAAGTCCCAAAAGATTTAAATCACTCTTGGTGACGTAGCAGATTCCTCTGAATTTAATGTTACGGAATGAAACAGAACATTTGAGTTCACCAATTAGTTTGAGCCGCCCACCACAGGCGCTGACAAGAGTCTGGGAAGTATTTGTGATAGGTGGTCTGCCAATATCATTCCAAAGTTTCTCTGATATAACAGTAATATCAGAGGCGGTATCTAGCTGCAGACGTGTATCATGACCATTCATCTGAAGATCAAGATATTTCCGCATACCTGGTGTTGTGACTTGACAGGTTGCGACTAGACTCATTGACTTTTTTGGGGATTTAGGACCAACAGTTTGTCGAGCTTTCGCTGGATTTTGATATCTGAGTTTGCGTGGCTGACAAAATCCATTTTTATGACCAATGATTTTGCACTTGCTGCAACGATGATTTTTGTATGGACAAGACTTTACAAAGTGCCACGCGCCACAATGCCAGCATGGTGATGGTGGGGTCTTCTTTGCAGTATTTTGTGAAGTTGGACGAGTATGTGTAGATTTCCGCGGAACATTAGGAGAAGTAGGTGGGTCAGGACTGGATGATGAGAGATTTTTGCTCTTTCGTAATGCATGAATATCAGAGCTTCTCGAAGGTGTTGATTCGACCAGGTGTGTGTCTTTCTGCAAATTAATCAGCCGTTGATATTCATCAGCTATGTCATGTAATGTTAACTTAGGATTTTGTTCTAGCTGATTGAGCAGTCGAGTTCGGATATCTGTGAAACGAGGAGATTGAAGACTGCATATGAGAATCAAGGCTTTGAATTGATCATCTGTTAAGGACCTGAGTCGAAATCTCTCACATTCTCGGTTGACTGTGCCAACGTGAGTAAGAAAATCATCATTTTCATTCATTGTCAGCTTGAGGCAACGATAACGTATGCTGAATAATGAGGAGTGGTCTCCAAAATGTTCACGCAGCAGCTTTATTGTATCATCGAAACACTTGTCACGTGGTTTCTGGGGTAAAATTAGGTTGCAGTACCGTTCATATTCTGCGGGACCCAATTTACGTAATAACACTCGCACCTTCCAAGCATCGTCTTGTGAGGCGAGATCAACTGTGAATAAATCCTCATATCGTTGATACCATGTGTCAAAAGTGACATTCGCATCTGGATTATAATTGAACTGTGAAATACTATTCACAATTCCGTCGACAGATGGTAGCATGGTATGATTCGGATTGCTTGAAGGTGAAGTTGGACCAGTCTGTTGGTTGATGAACATTTCCATTAATTTCATTTGTCGTTCAAATAGTAATTCCAATTTAGAAGGATCCATAGTTTTCCCCGTCGCCAAATTATTATGTACTCGTCGCCAAATTATTGTTATGTACTGGTCGAGAATTTAATAGTCCTGACGCAAGAAAGACGGAAATCAGAAGACCACTAGGTTTGCGATGATACTTCTATTTTCCAAACACAAGGAGAATCAATGTCACACAAGAGTGTGAGAGCAAAATATAAGAATGTCCGAACAAGTGTGTGAACACAAGTGTGTGAGCGAATATTCAAAATGAACAAATCAATAGACAGTCTTAACATGATTGGCTAATTATAATGGAATATCGATCCATATATACATAGCAAATATACAGACTGTCAAACAAACACACATATTATATGGATATATATCACCAAGGACAGATTGTGAAACAAACACACATATTATATGGATATATATCACCAAGGACAGACTATCAGACAAAACACACATATTATGTGGATATATATCAGCTGGGGAGTGCAGAAGATTTCCAAACTGGTTTCAGGTTGATGAGGGCGTAGCTTACCTTTCCGATTTTGCCTGCCGTCGACATCTTCTTCCTTTTCTCTGGCCTGTTGTTTAAACGATGCTGCCTGGCCAGATAAGTGAAGGAAACAACCTATGTTAAATCTCTCCCGTTGGTGGTGATTGGTGCCGGTTGTTGTTACTGTTGGTTGGTTGGTTGGTTGGCTATCTTCATTACCTCCGTCTTCTCTATGTTCGTCACCTGGAGTCCTATTTTCTCTGCCTCGCCTATTCAGGCAGCTTGTTGGTTTTCTCCTACAAGTCTTCGAGTTTGTGTGACATTAGACGTATATCATGTGCATTAAAAACGCTATGCATAATATATTAGAGCAGAGACAGAGTGAGATGAGGATCTAATTGAAAAGTAAATTATTTCTTCGCTTAATTCCTTGTAAACATCCTTGTGAAACTAGAAAATGGGCCTTTGAAAGATGTTACAGATGAACTTTTATTCCACTGTCGGTACATAGATGATAGATTTTTGATTATGAAAACGATGATGAAGCAAAGAATATCCTGGATAAATTTAACCATGTTCATTCTGCAATAAATGTTACTGTTGAGAAAGAAAAAGATGCTAGTATTGCATTTCTAGACGCCTTTATGACCAGAAAAGAGGATGGCACAATAAAAAGGATTTTACGATTTCATCATGAGCTGACATTAGTTAGAGAACCATTGGAAATCCTGGGAGTACTGGACAGCTGTTTCGTCCTAGTTTGGGACTCTTCAGCAGTACGCACCCACCGGGATTCGAACCCAGGACCTTCTGGTTACAAGGCTAGCGAGCTCGTATACCATTAAGCCACTGGGACCCGATCCAATGGTCCCAAAGGATTTTATTTAGAAAACCTACATCAACGGGTCGGTATAATCATTTTTTCAGCTTCGTGCCCTTAAAATACAAATGCAATCTGATAAAGTGCTTGGTCCGCCACAGAGCAAGAGTAATCTGCTCGGATGAATGTCTTGATAAGGAACTTAATAATATTAAACGGTTGATAAGAATATCAATCTAAAATCAAATCAGCTCAAGGTACCAACAGTTCTAAAAAGGCCTTATTCTTACGAATTCAGTTCCTTGGAAACAACACCAGCGAGATATTTACACAGCGCCTTAGAAATGCGGTAAAACGAAGAGCATTCCCTGCTACCGAATTATGCTGTGTCTTAAAAACCACCCCTATTTTGCGTTCGGGAGTAAAAGCTAAACTGCCTAATTCTGCCTGTTCTATATGTATCTACCAATTTGACTGCTCCTGTGGAGTGAGCCAGTTAGTTGCATAGGCCGTACAATTAGGCGTGTTTCTCGTCGGATTTCCGAACATCACCCTGCGTCGTTGGTTAAGCAAAGGACAAACAAAATCTATTCGCAAGCGCTATTCTATCTCATCTTGTGGATACAGAACACAAGACTGGCGTTAACCATGCTTTCAGAGTCATTTATCGCATACCTACAAATCTCAATTTCGCCTTAAGATTTCGACTACTAAATATTGCTGAGGCTGGCTGTTGGGATCCATACTAATAAGCATAATTTATGCATCTAAAAGAAGTTAGTTCAGACGCTTTCCTTACCTTGGCCATTTAGGTTTGAATGATCCTGAATTTTTGTGGAATTTTCCTAATTTTAGTTGATATTCTATTCGCTATTATGTCTTTATTATTATTATTATTTGAGCATCTTTAATGAACTGTGGTAATTCCGTAGTGATCTTTCTTTACAAATCGATATTATTTAAAAAACACAAATATTGTTATTGACTACTATTCTAGAATATTCTATGTATATAAACATACATGGATATGTAATTTTAGAGCCATGAGAGGAGGAAATTATCGAAAAGGATATTCATTGCTTGCTCAATTATTTTGTTTTTTAATTTCTTTTGTTTTCTAAATGTCTAAATAGGGATTGTTTTTTCTATATTGAAATTAATGATACACACACAGCCTAGGGGGAGGGAGGGAATACGTATACGAATTACAAAATTAGTTGAAATGTCTCTGAATAAGTATAAAAATATTATAAATAGTTCATCCAAGAGGGATATTCGAAACAGCTTGTCCATTACAACTATATGGGTAATTATTCTTCTATAATGTGTTAATTGAATTAATGGTTGGTAACCATTAGAACAAGATGAGTTTCGTACGTGTAAAATTGCCAGAACCGGTCTCATAGAATGGAAAAGCTCAGAAGACTTACTGAATAGGTCACGTATAAAACACACTGGTAATTAGTATACCGCATTAACTTGGAATGGCAGTCAGCTCTCTGCCTCACTCAACTTCATCGAATTTGAAAAAGTCTTCGACTGACAGCGTCTATCCAGAGGTGATTTGCAAACTACTTCACTACTACGGGGTGTCGCCAACAATTATACATCTCATCTAACAGTTGTACGAAAATGCTGCGTGCCAAATAATCCACAACGGGAGACTCATGGAATCCTTTGAAGTGAAGATGGGAGTGAGACAAGGCTGCCTACTATTTCCAATGATTTTCTCGATTGCGTTAGACTGGATAAAGCGACAGACAGACAGCAGGCAGCAAGAAAAAAGGCATAAAATAGGCCCACGCAAAATACTTGGAGGATCTAGACTTCCCTGATTTCTCACAAAATGGAAGATATGCAAGTGAAAAGCAACAGTTTGGCAGAAGAAGCATCACAGGTAGGAATTCATTTCAGGTGAATATAGAAAAAAACACAGGTAGGTGATGAAGATTGCTGGAAAACACCAACAGCAGCAACAATAGACAACATTCAGCATAAATGGCAGAAACCTGAAAGAAACAACCTCCTTCATGTAACTACCTGGGAAGCATCGTTTCAAATACAGGTGGATGGAACTGGTGAAGATATCAGAGTGCAAGAATCAGGAAACCGAGGAAAGCCTTTATTACCCTCAAGTCTGTGTGGAGATCAAAAGCACACTCAACATGGAAAATAAGATCCGGATTTTCAACTTTAATGTGAAGTCTGTGCTACAATACAGATGAGAGACTTGGCATCGTGCCGTATCACGAAGGGCACTTCGAACAAACTACAGACCTTTATCAACAGCTATCCTCATTCAATACTCTTTAGATCAGATGGTCAACCAGAAAAGATCAGCAACAGGAAGGGATCTCTGGCAATGAACAAACCAATCAGGAAATAATTGTATTGATGTATCGACAGTGCTAGCTAGATTATCAAAATAAAGATAATTTTTGGAGATGAAATAAACAACCTGTACTCTGGTTACTTTTTACTCCAGTGGAACCTGAATGGCAGATGACGAGATAGACATGGATCAAAGGGTAACACGGAAGAAATCGTGTGGAAGGGAGGAGGAGCAGGAGATAATTTTTTATTTTTTTATTTTTGATTACAGCTTGATTCCACACCGTATTTTGGTACAAGTATGGAATTTTCAGCGTGCATATCGGTAGCCCAAAATTCGCAGGCCGACCATAGATATCAGGTGTGCGTCGGCGTGGGCTCGAACCCCGGACCAAGTACATGGTCGGCGAGAGTCCTAACCACTGTGCCACCGACGCACATTATTAAGGATCCAGATAAAGACGACTGTAGAGAACACATGACAAGCTGGAGATATTCACCTGAAATCCTTCCTATTTCCCACTCGATAAGCAAGGGAATAATAATATTAACAACAATAATAACATCAATATACACCTTAATTAGAGTTCACCCAAAGCTTTCTACTTATTTTTATCATTGTTCAATTTTTTTTATTTTGTTCATATTTACTGATTTCCTTTCTATAGGATCATTCAATACTGATAATGAATAGACAGCTTAAACAAGAGCCGACAATACAAGAGTTTCCAGTATGGGAATTATCTGATCCTGTTAACAGCTCTAGTGGAAAAGTGGAATCTGACAATAAGACTCCTGTTCCTGCATCATTAAATAAATTAGTTAGCCAGAAGAAGACGAAGAGGAAAGAAGTTTCAATAATGACACAGATTGGTGATGATTTAACGTCGACTGAGAATTGCGCCGTTAGTGAAGCCTCTGCTTCAACTGATAAATGTACACAAACAATAAATGCAATGGTTAGTCAATTCCCTTTTATTATTATTATTATTTTTGGTCTGTTGGAGTGTTCCCTTTTTTAACTGATTAAAAGAGCCCACTAAAATTTTTCAAATGAATGGATACTGAACAAACAGTACTCTTTTCGATAACGCCTTCATCATCAGGCTATACAGTTGTACATACATTACAGTGAATGAATGAATGAATGAATTAGTGTTATGAAGAACAACATTAATGTTTCTTTAAATAACATCGAATCAATAATATCAGCGGACTACAGTTCAATAGCATCAGCATAAAATAAGCTGAATGTCAGAAAAATTAGGAAGGATAATATTACAAATACATGAATTTGTAGTCTCTACTGAAGGCCAGGGCTATAGTAGTAGTGGCTAGCTGGACTTGCTTCTTTTGAACACAGAGTACTGGTTGTTTGAGGCGAATTGCAATAGCCTCCGCTGTTTGAAGCATGCTATGCTTCGATGATTTTGGTAATTTATTAGGCACCCAGTAGATGATAGAGAAGGATTCTTGAATGCCGGCTGGCTGGCTTTGTGGCCGGTTTGTACCAGATGGTCCAAAATCGAACTGTTAACGGTTTTCACTACACATTTATTTAGTCATAATGGGAGATGTTCGCGAGTGAGCACAAAAAATCAAGTTCCTAGAGCAACGGCCAATATAACTTGCTCCACTACAGGCTCAGTTGAATTAGTAGATACAGTTGGAAGTGGCCAGCTAGTCTAGGTACTTCATCTTTCATCTTTTTCCTGTTGAATACTTAAACTTTTTCTACAGTAATCGGCTAGGGTGAAATGACGCAGTTTGAGATGGAAGCTGCTCCCACTGTGCTATAGCAATCAAATATATATATATTCAGATTTCAGGATTTTATCATGATCTGACATTAGTTAGAGAGCCATTGGAAAACCTGAGAGTACTGGACAGCTGTTTCGTCGTAGTTTGAAACTTTTCAGTAGTACGCACCCAGACTGCGGGGTTCGAACCCAGGACCTTCTGGTTACAAGGCTAGTGAGCTCGTATACCATTAAGCCACTGGGACCCGATCCAATCGCCAGCCCATGAATTCTAACTTCTGCGAATTCACGATATAGCGTGACCCCCAAGCCGACGTCTTCGACAAGTATTTGTCCTCACATCCGACCCGCTGCACCTTACAGGTCACAACTTCCCACTGGAACCTAGGTAACCACCTACCTGAATAGGGCCAGTCGCCAGGGAGCATCTCATTAGTATTCAAGTGTTCAGATGAATAAAAAGGACAATGAAGAAAAAGAGGCGAAATGGCATACTGGTATATACTACTGATTGATATGTATACATACTACTCACATCAAATAGTAGAGAGAAGCAAAGGGCTTTAAAAGAACATGTCCGTTTTATCCTGTATATGCAGTTTTCTTTAGATGACTGTACGATTATGCATTAGTACTCATCTCCTCCTATTAATACGGTGTCCTCCCTAATGTTATTTTTGGAACTGTGTTAAACTAGTCGTGTACTATTCGTGTTCCACTAGATCAATGATAAGGCGTGTGATATCACATGTAATGGGATCTTCGGCATTTTCATGTATTGGTTTGTAGGGATTTGACTGATTGGTTACAGGATCATATCATAAGGTGAAATCGGTTAGAAAACCATTAGAAAACCAGCCGGAAGTATTGGGCAACTGTTTCGTCTGCCTAATTTGGGACTCTTCAGTGGGGTTCGAACGCAAGGCGAGCTAGATTGCAGACCACTAGGCCACTGGGACCCGATCCGTTGGCCCATGAATTAAAGTTTCTGTACCCTAGCAACTGGATCCATTCAGGTAAGCAGTTACTTGTGTTCTCGTGGAAAGAAGTGACCAATAGGGTATAGCAGGCTGGGTGTGGGGACATATACTCGCCGAAAAAAGTGGCTAGTGGTTGCACTATATCGTGAATTGGCAGAAGCTGGAATTAATAGACCATTAGGTTGAATCCCAGTGTGTACTGATGAAGACTCGCAAATTAGGTTGACGAAACAACTAGCTGTCCAGTACTTTCGGCTGGTTTTTCAATGGTTCTCTAACTGATGTCAGTCAGCTCATGATTACTCCTGTAACCGATAAAAAATCCTTACAATTCAAAACTTGATAAACAATGTTTTATTTCAATGTAGGTCATTTCATAAACCAGCACGGGAGTCACACCAAAAGACTGGGAGATTGTTAAGTTCATACTTCTATCATGGGAATTTTGTCACTTAGAAATCAAAAGTTAGACTTTTTGTAGATTTAAATTTAGTAGGTGAGAATGTCTTTCCGTATTATCTTCCGTTGTTAAGTGGCGTATACTAATTATGCATATTTCCCATATTTATAATTAAGATTACACCAGTTACGGATCATTAAGAATCATGGGAGCATTGGATAACTATTCCTAGTTCAGTAATCTCCAGTAGTATGTACCTATGACCACTAACAGGTATCAAACCCACCATCTTCGGTTCATTAGGCTACCTTGTTGACCATCCAACCATTTGGATTGGAAATCAACAACTCATGAATTCTGATTTCTGTTATTTTGGGTGAGATGGATCACCACCTTCAAGCAATGCTTCTTCGATTACCATCCACTTTACCTTGTTGACTCGGTGAACCCTACTGGAAGTGACTTCTCACTGCAGCCTCAGAACATCCTTCTAGTAGCTATATCCATAAGCTGGGAGATTGATATTTAGGTTAAGGGTTTTGTGAAGACTTGGATTAATTCCAAAATCGATTTTTTTTTTCACAAAGCAACATCAGTTAGATAATCCACTTAAACAAAACAATTTAGTTTATCTACAATGATTATCAGGTCATATCACACATACGTCAGGGTAGGAGAACACAGGCAGTCAGACTAGCGGAGGTCAAAAACCCAGCAGCTAAATATAGATTAGTTGACATTGATAATAAGATAATAAATCTGGAGAATATTTCAGCTGTAACACTCACTCACTACATGCAATTATACACAACGATACAGCATAGGATGATGGGAGAAGATGATAGTTTTAAAATCAGATGTAACAGCAGGGTGTGTGGGGGGCGGGGTAGAGATTGATAACGGAAGCTTTATTTATCGAATAAACTGCAAACATGTGTAGTAGGAATGATTCAGTACTTGTCCAAGCGGACATCTGGAGAATTCTACTACGCCTACCTACGACGATGAACAGGAAGATTAAAGAAAACTATAAAACTCAAGTTTCGAATTCGTGTGATTATAATTGATGAAGTGATTATGAACAGTAATAAATTTTGTTCGAAACTTTGTCATCCAGGAAATAATACTATCTCAGGGACTGTGTGATACATCTAATAAACAAACTAATATGGAATTGCTTACTACCACAGTAGTGCCCAAGTTTTACACATATATGATAAAGGGATAAATAAAAGTTTCATTTCATTTTCTCTATGAAAATGAGCTTAGCTAATATAGTAAGGTTAATTAAATATCTCTGTGAGTCTTTGTCTACCGATCAGACTTATGTGATCACACCCATGAACGGTAAAGATATACAAACATCCATTCTGGCAAGTAGAACTGTCTTTTTGACGCTTGTCTAGTGTTTAGTATATTTCAAAGGGTGGTGATTATGTAATAGTATTTTAGTGATGGTCCGCATGTCTTCTCCAGTAGTGTTCACCATACATTTATGTGGAATACATCTAAAAGATACTCAACTAGCGTCATTTTTGAATGGAAGAGAAGAGGAACTGTGCTAGTTCAGGTACTTTGCCTTTCTGGTGGCCTTCTTCTAGAAAGATGATTTTATCAATCTAAATTATTATACAATTGGTGGATGGTGGCTAGCAGTGGAATGCAGGATGCGCATTTCGTCCTATTTGGGACTCGTCAACTGGATGTACCTGCATTTCTCAGTGAGTGATGATGTTCCCACCGAGGCTCGAACCCAGTACCCATAGTTTCAAACGCCAAAGCGTTATCCACTAGACCACTTGGGCCATGAGGGCCACCTCTTATGCAACGGGTCATATTAATTATTGAATTGAATTTTTGATTTTTCTGAGACCGGTCCACCTCGGTCCAATCAATCGACGGGAAAATCAAAAATTCAGTTCAATAATTAATATGACCCGTTGCACAAGAGGTGGCTCTCGTGGCCCAAGTGGTCTAGTGGATAACGCTTTGGCGTTTGAAACTATGAGCACTGGGTTCGAGCCTCAGTGGTGGGAACATCATCACTCACTGAGAAATGCAGGTACATCCAGCTGACGAGTCCCAAATAGGACGAAATGCGCATCCTGGATTCCACTGCTAGCCACCATCCACCAATTGTATACTAATTAAATGCCCAGACATCGTCGAAGCATCTGCACAAGAAGCCGACATGTCAACCTGAGACCGGGCACCTCGGTCCAATCAATCGACGGGAAAATTAAAAATTCAATTCAATAATCTAAATTATTGTTTAAAATACTTACTACTCATTAGTAGTAAGAGTTTTCTGTTGCAAAAAGGCTGGCAACACTTGTTTATAAGAAAAACTACTCAAATGTCTTCTTTAACTACAAATGTTCAGCTGACGAAATTGTATGATATAGATTTTAACCTTTGATTTTTAACATCTTAGAAAGTCGAATTAATTAGTTTGCACGTGATTAAGACGACAACTAGTTAGTGAGCATTCATCGACTGACATCATGTTTTCTATCTGATCATTTATAACTCTTTTCTCGTTTAGCTCTGTTTCAGTTAACATTACTAGTCAACATGCATAGTGCGTGTTGTAGTCACTTCTCTCGAAGTAGCTTCAGGACGAAATCGACTGACTTCTTTTCCTTATCTACTATTCTACTGCTAACCTTGTCTGAAGAAAGCACACTTCTACTTCTGGTGCACCCCTCAAGTCACTGTTATGGTATAAGGTAATGATAATTGCTTTGAGCATTGTTTCATCTACGGGGGACACATCTGAGGGTGCCAGATTCAGCCAAGATCGAAAAAAACAAGACAGA